CTCTAGTTTTCATTACATACATTTGTTAGGCAAAACCCTGATTTAAATCCTAGCACTTTCAAAACCCCCTTAGTTGAAGGATAGATAGTACCTCTTTCTCTGCTTGGCAAAAACACAGAGAAAATAGTGAACGTGGTTAGATGACAGACAGGATAGACTCTTTTCCACCAAAATACTGAGACTAATGTTGGTTTACAAATATTTAAAAATAGAACACAAAGGCATCAAGAATAGACCATTTCTCTAATATAGGGACTTGAATTATATTTCTCTAAATTAATGCATAGAAATTAACGTACATATTAATGTACAGATCTGGTTACTTTTCAAGGATTTATTGGCCTAAGAAAATAAAGGAAACTCCACAAAAGAATCAGAGCCATGACTGGCTGATCTAGAACACACACACCCTGGACAGCAGGTGGGTCTTCCAGCTTCAGGTACTCTTGGATGACTGACTGTCCACACTGTTCAAAAGCAGTTCATTTTACTTTGGCTTTTTGGTTTGCTTTTATGTGTAGACTTGGATTATGTGCAGAGACTTCCTCAAAGGAGCTAGGCTGGTTAATTCTTTCTCTTTAAAAAAATTTTCTCCATTAATGGCTAAAGTCTTTAATCTCTTGTTTTCAGGCTGATGCTTGGCATTCCTTTATGGAGGCTTTTATGTCAAAAGTCAAAGCCTTAAGACCTTTGCAGCTTAGGTGCTCCTGAGCTGAAGGTAACAGAGTAAGGAAAGTGGTAAAAGAAAAACTAAATGCAGAGATTTATGGTTTGGGGTAAGATGGAGTAGGCACACTTCACCTTGTCTCTCCCACTAAATGTAGCTATAAGACCTGGACTTATTACACAGAACAGCAATGTGAAGACCCTGAAAAGTAAGCAGTTGCAAGAGAAGAAGGGAAGGACACCCTAATTCAAAGTAGAACAGAACCTGTGGTCTGTTTCCCATTTTTCCCCTCCAGTATTCCCCAGCCTGGACTCAAGGCAGCCTGAAACCCAGAATTGAGCACAAAACACCTAATTTTGTTCCAGGAGTGAGAAACAGGCTCCTAATGCTCAGAGAGTGGGGGTAAATCCCTGTCTTTTTTCTTTTTCTTTTCTCCACCCTCTAATGCCTTAGGCCCCGTGGGATTGTGTAGTAGTAGCAGCAGTGAGGGGCAACGGGGAGAAGGTTGGTAATGGAGGACCTCAGTCACCCATCCTTTGGGGTAAGGGATCCTTCCTTTCTGAGCAGAGGAGCTGTGGTCCCCAGAGGGTGGAGGAAACTCTCATTGCTTTTTTCCTTGCACTGTCCTCCCACTGTGTGGCCCAACACAGTGCAGTTGTAGGACATGCACAGCAAAGCAGGGTAGCTAAAGCACCAGGTCTCTGGCCAGAGGACTGAAAAGCAAGCCCCAGGAATCTAGAAGGACCAGAGAGATCACCGAGAGGGAGAAGCTCTGGAGAACAACCCCAAAAGGTTGCTTATGAGCTCCTGGGCTCATTCCCGAGCTGCACCTGCGTGGATCTGACCCTAAGCAGCGTTGGCAGTCTGTTAGAACCCCTGTCGCAGATGGCCACTGGGTGGCGCCCACAGAACAGCTGAAGAGCACTGCAAAGTCAGAAGACTGATCTGACGTGGGAATCACAACCTCCGAGGGCAGGTTGGAATGTGAGGTCTGAACCCAACCAACTTGATCACTTACTGTGTTAGCTATCAACTTATTGCCTCTCAACCTGGAATGCACTCTTCAGTGTGTGTATTCTGTGATATATAATGGAATTCCTTTAAGTATTCGTCCTTTGAAGTGAACGCCATTGTTAACCTTTCTCAGTAAAGGACATTGGAGTGACAGTGTAGCAGGAAGAGGTTTCCTGCCTTTCCCAGGGGAGGATCAGCATTGTGGGACACCTCCTGGAGCCTGCCCCAGTCATGGGCACACAATATGGTCCCTTTGCAACCTGGCAGCCTTGGCTAGCAATAACTTTCTGCAGCTCTCTTGACACAGAAAACAGAGCCTTGTGTGGCCCATTTGCTCTGTGGGCCTCCTGCCCTCCTTCAGGAGGAAAATGGAGAATTTGCCAGAAGACCTCCTTTAAAAGAATTGTTAAGGGAATTTTTTTAGACAGAAGGCAAATGATACCAGAGGGGGACTTGGAACAATAGGAATGAAGGAGGAGCAAAAGATATGGTAAATATCAGGGTAGATATGACAGACTAGCTTCCTCCTCATGAGTTCTTTGAAATAAGTTTGATGATCTGAAGCTAAGAAATCTAACACTGACTGATATAATGCATAGCACAACTACAACATAAAGGTGAGAGTATAAGGGGATCTATATGGCAATAAGGTTTCTTTTTTATTTTAATAAATTTATTTATTTTATTTATTTATTTCTGGCTGAGTTGGGTCTTCGTTGCTGCTCTCGGGCTTTGGCTAGTTACGGTGAGTGGGAGCTACTCTTCTTTGCGTTGCGCGGGCCTCTCACTGCGGTGGCTTCTCTTGTTGCACAGCACGGGCTCTAGGCATGCGGGCTTCAGTAACTGTAGCACTCGGGCTCAGTAGCTGCGGCTCACGGGCTCTAGAGCACAGGCTCAGTAGTTGTGGCGCACGGGCTTAGTTGCTCCACAGCATGTGGGATCTTCCTGGACCAGGGCTGGAACCCATGTCCCCTGCATTGGTAGGCGGGCTCTCAACCAGTGCACCACCAGGGAAGCCCAGGTAATAAGCTTTCAATATCTCACTTGAAGTGGTTAAAATACTGTTTCTAAGTAGACCACGATAAGTTAAGCATGTATCTTATACTCCCTAGGGCAACCGTGAAAAAGAAAAGACGAAGAAGCATAGTCAAAAGCACAATAGAGAAAACAAGATGGAATAGTAAAAAATGTTCAGATAACAGAAAAGAAGGCAGGAAAATATAAAAGAGGAAAACAAAAGAGGGCTCAAACAGAAAATGAGTAATAAAATGATAGACCTGAATGTAAATATATCCTTAATTGTACTAAATGTAAATTGCCTAACCATACCAATTAAAAGACAGAAATTGTCCAAATGAGTTAAATAAGCGAATCAACAAGATTCTGTCTATAAAATCTCATATAGATTATAACCATATATTTAGGTTAAAAGTAAAAAGATGGAATCAAGAAAGTGAAAAGAGAGCTCACAAGATGGGAAGCAATTTTTGCAAATCATATATCTGGCAAAGGACCAGTATCTAGACTATATAAAGAACTATTACAACTCAACACTAAAAAGACAAATAGCCCAATTAAAAAATGGGCAAAGAATCTGAATAGACATTTCTCCCAAGAAGGTATACACATAAAAAGATGCTCAACACCTAAAGCACATAAAAAGATGCTCAACATCATTAGCTATCAGGGAAATGCTAACAAAAGACAACCGTCACACTCACTGGGATGGCTACAATACAAAGAGAGATAATAACAAGTGTCAGCAGGGATGTGGAGATACTGGAACCCTCATACACTGCAGGTGAGAATGTAAAATGGTGCAGCTGCTTTGTAAAACAGTCTGGCAGTTCCTGAAAAGGTTAAACATAGAGTTAACATATGACCCTCCAATTCTACTCATATGTACTTACCCAAGAGAATCGAAAACTTATGTCCACACAAAACTTGCACCGTTTGCATCTTTGTCAAAAATCCCCTTTAGGTAAAAGAGTTTTAAGGGAGACAAAAGACAGTCTCAGATGTCAGAAATTAAAGGAAAGAGGGAAATCAACTGGGGTCAGTGTTGTCAGCTCTTCAGACTAAACTTATTGACCTCAAATGTTCGGCTGCATAAACATAAGCCAGTTCTGCCACTCATATTGGCAAAAGCCATTTGTGGAGAGCACAAACTTGAGTCAGAAGATTTAAATATTTGGTTTTGTATCCCCACTGACTGCTATTTAGAAGTGTCTGGAATTGGAACAGAGAATATTCAACAGCCTTACTGTTTGCCAACTGACACTCCGTGTATCTGTGCACATCAGGAAATGGATTTAGCCAGATTTTGATGCTGTAGGTAGGGGAAGTTTAAAACAATATATAGAAACTTGTTTTACTTCGATAAGGGAGATAAGTATAGCTTAGTGGAATGAATGTTGAAATACACTTTTATGTCCTGATAATTTTTTTTTTTTTTTGGCGGTGAGCAAATAATGACTTAAAACAAATAGTAAATATGAGGTGGGAAAATGAAGAGAGAAAGTTCACTGAATGGGCTGAGAGTGAAGCAACCTGGATGCAAATCTTTTACTCACTTTCATTCATTCATTTACTCACTTAGTCTTTCAACAAATATTTATGGAGGGTCCACTATGTGCCACACACTGTGCTAGTTCTCACTAAGAGGTGATGACCAAGATGTACCTGAGTCTGACTTTCCTTGTGTTTGAGAAACCACATAAACAGAGATCAGCAGCTGTGAGGGTTCGTGTCGCAGGGGAAACCTACAGGACAAGTGCCCAGGCTGTGTGGTCAGTCCCAGGAGGAAAAGTGCTCAGTGGGGTTTGGTACAATGCTTGGTGCACTTAATGGTGGCTGGTGTTTAGCCTCAGATAACTGGTATGTGTGTGTGTGTGTGTGTGTGTGTGTGTGTGTGTGTGTGTGTGTGTATCTTCTAAATAACTAATCAAACTTACCTCTGAGTATGTTACAACCTACTGAGAAGATCAGATGCCAGTAAATTCAATAGAATGTGGAACCACAAAGCTTGAGGAATGCCCAGGGGGCTTTGGGAACCCACATGTCAGCTGAGGGGTAGAGAGACAAGTGTGACATTCTAGAGGAGAGGACCCCAGTTGAGTGCTGAACTTTGACTTACAAACAAGAGTACTCTCAGACCCTAAGAACATTAGCAACTGCCATCCTGGAAGAAACAAGGCATTTCATCATTATTGATGAAATTGATTCACTCATATTTTATTTTAAAGTTCAAGTTAAAACTATTTTCTTCTGTGTGTGTATGAAGCTGACATATATATATATATAATTTTTTTTTAAATAGGTAACTTCATGCTCCTAAAATGGGGCATAAAGTGGTCGTATTCGACATTTCTGTCATCAGAGCCTTGTGGGAAACTCGTGTCAAGAAGCACAAAGCCTGGCAGAAGCAGGAGGCAGAAAGGCTCGAGAAAAGCGCATTGGAAAAGTATGTGTTCTCTGTACTTGCTCTGTAGCTCTTTAGCGAATAAGACAGGCTGCATTTGTGTTGTGGAGGGGGATGCCTTTCCTCCGAGATTTCTTCCTGTCCGTAACACTTGCTCATTGGACTTCAGAATCTTCGTGCTGTTGCCTACAATGAACATTCGATTTCTATAACAGTAACACTCACAGCTATAAGGACCCACATACATTCCAGGTACTGTGCTAGGCATGGAAAAGACAGCAATGACATGACAAATCCCTCTACAGGAAATTCTGAAAGACCACCTAGCTGCCCTCAGCAGGCTGATGCTGTCCACCCACGTGACAACATGAGGCTGCTCTATGTCCTGCACTCAGCTCTCACCCGTTGAGCTGAATGTTAGATAAGATTCATTGTGTTGATGCAATTTTTACTTGGATTGGAATGATGTGGTTTGACTACTGTCATACACTCATGAAGTATGAGTAAAAGGGAGTTACCGTGTGTATGGAAACTAAGTTGAGGGCTTCGGAAAAACTACGTGTGTGATCAATATGAACCACCCAACTGAATTAACACTGTACAAGACGGATAAAAGTACAATGAGCTAGAAAGGTTGCACGTTCAGGTGGCTTTGCACGTCTGTAATTTTTATGCCCAGTGAGGAAACCCAAACTGTAAGTCTTGGATCATGTGTTATGGGTGTGGTTTATATAAGAAAGGCAGAGTGGGATTCTAATTGGCAGATCCATTCTCAAAGGCGGTCCATGACCCTACATCAAATTGGCAAATTGTGACATATGTCTATGCTTTAGGTTAAAAACAAAATGTGTAGGATATGAATGTCTCTTTATTCTTGGTTCTTCACTTCTATGAACTATTTTGATCAAACAAATACCTATTCTGATCATGCTTGATAATTAAGCTGCTACTGTAAGCAGCACAGCTGTTCCAGGTGGTTATAATTATCCCCAGTCTGAAGACGAAGTTAGGACCTAAGTAACTTGCCCAAATTGACAGGGCTGGTAAATGGAGGATTTGGCCAAACCTTTCCCCCTGTATAATACTGTAATCACAGATAGCTGGACTGTCTTTTCACTTGCCACTAATATGAGATTATCCACTATGACATGAATCTTAAATTTAAGAATTGGAACCCTCAGACCAGGCAACACCCATGGCAGAGGATCTTAGGGATCTACATGAGCATGAATTACACAAGGTCCCAGCACCCTATGAGCCCAAAGTGGTTCTCAGCCCTGCTCCAGCTTCCTCCCACCCCCAGCATCTGGGGTTACTCTAGGGTGGGACAACTTGCTGAATGGGGACCCAAGCCCTGGGAGGTTTATGGAGGTGTCTGTAGCTGAGGTAACCCCCTGTGGGTTCTGGGAACAGCAGCCACCTGCAGGAGCTTCGGTCTGAGAACCGTGCCCTGGAAGCCACTTTGCAGTCACTTTTGACTCTTGATCTCTGTCTTCCATCGTGGTGCCAAATGGCTTTGTGTCCACATTCACACGTCTCCTGTACACAGGGTTGGTCCTGCATCAGGCTCAGTGCTATAGGGCTTGTGCTGTGCCTTATCTTAACCTAAGACAGAAAACATCTTGGGAATTTGTTAGGATTTTCTAGCTCAAGATAAGAAAAACGGCCACTAAACTGGCTGGGTGGTGAGGAGGAACTGGGAGGGTGGCTGGAGGAATGTGATGTTCAGAAAGAAGCATTAATTTCCCAAGACCTGCAAACATGAATGTAGTGAATTTACCTTTTTCTGGCAGGTATTTTTGAAGTTTCATAATATGATTTATACTGTTGTTGTTAGGACTATTTGAAGGTTACCCTTTAGTTTCTCAAAATTTGTTTCCTGTGGGAAAGTTAATATATACATATATATATATATATATTTTAAATTAATTAATTTATTTGGTTGCACCGGGTCTTAGTTGTGGCAGGTGGGCTCCTTAGTTGCGGCATGTGAACTCTTAGTTGAAGCATGCGTGTGGGATCTAGTTCCCTGACCAGGGATCGAAACTGGGCCCCCTGCATTGGGAGCACGGAGTCTTAACCACTGGACCACCAGGGAAGTCCTGAAAGTTAATGTACTGATGACTGCTTTGTATAAAAGGCAGTTATCCGGTTAATATAAATGTACTAAACCAGGCAAAACCCTTTAGCTTGTTCTGTTACCTCACTTCATGGTATTTCATTTTGTAATACTGTATTTGTTCCATGAGGTATATACCAACACTTAAAAGTTATGAGTACGGAACATCACTCTACTTGAATGAAACTCAGTCATTTAGATGGAGAGATAGAGATGCTTTTGTTAGGCTCTAAGTGAGGAATTTTTCATCCAGTGAGGCTATTTGCCATCTAGACTAAGATTGTGGGCTCCATTTCTTAAGGAAAGAGTATTTTATTTGCACACTTACTGATTTAATGAATAGAGCTCTAATGGCATTGTTCTGTATGTTTATCTTGTCTTTGAAATACTACTAAAATTGACTTAAGGGGACGATTATTCAATGATATGGGCGATAAAGACAATGACATTTTATTTATGTTAATTACTCTCAAGGAAGAGAATGGATTTGTAAAAATAGTTTATATTCTCATTGTGACTTTCTCTAGGTTTCAAAGGGACTAAGGCATCAAACATTTAAAGCAGAAATCCAAAAAAGATTTGGTATTTATTTTTTAAGTAGCGCATCTAATTTCCTTTTTCCCTCCACTTACGTTGGCTGTACCAAGATATGTGAAATAGTTACATCAATTTGTAATTTGTGATATAGGAAAGATGTGTTGAGTAGAGCTTAGCTGGTATCATTTCATTACCTTGCTAGACTCTACCTTCAGGTTCAGTCTAAGAAATGAAGAAAGAAAATTTAGAGACATTAATCTGAAAAGTGCTCATTGAATACAAGAACTCGCTGCGGCTGTGCTGTTGGTTGTGAAAATTCTGGGAATATTTCTTTCATTATTTCAATCACTGCCTTGGATCTAGGGTCTGCCCTGTATCCCTGACTGCTACAGTCAGAACTAGAGCTACAGGTAGATATTTAAACTTATTTTTATCATATGGTATTAAAAATATTTAAATTACACAGAAGAGCTAATAATGAAAAGCAAATCACCCCAAGCCCCTGCTAGTAATTCCCAGAGGAGCTCACTTCTAACTCTTCCAGCACCTTCTCCTGGTATTAAATTCCTATTTCTCCATGTGCTGGTATTTTAAAATTTATCTGTTTTATTACATTATTTGTAGACTTCATATGTAGATCCTGAAGCCCCAGGTAGTTGATTACCCAGTGCTTTTTCCCCAGCTCAGCAACCTGTGACTAGGACCTGGGTAGGGTAGTAGCTGTGCTAGCCAATGCCGTCAGCAAGATAGTTTTTTTCAGGCGCTCCTGTTCTCCTAGATGAATGGCAAGCACGAAACTCCACTGATACCTGAAGTGGTGTCTGAAGAGCAAAAAGTCTGATTAAGGGAGAGACATTTGCACATAGTCCTGGGGAACCAGCCCTGCAGAAATCTGGGATCAAGAACTCCAGGTAGACATAACAGCAAGTGCAAATACCCTGAGGCAGGGGTTTGCCTGGGTGGTTCAGGGAAGAACCAGGAGGCTAGAGTGACTGGGCCAGAAAAAGTAAGTGAGGGTGCAGTAGTGGATGAGGTCAGACAGGCAAGGGGAGCGCACAGATCCGCAGGGCCTTGTAGGCCATAGTGAGACATTTGCTTTTATTGGGTGAAACGAGAAACCAATGAGAGGTATGGGCAGAGGCATGACATGGTGTGACTGACACTGTCACAAACTCACTCAAAATGCTGGATGAGTTTAGACTGTAGGGAGGCAAGAGTGGTTGCCTACATGAAGATGCTGGTGACTTGGACCAGGATGGGAGCAGGGAAGGTGGTGAGAAATGGTCAGATTCTGGTAGAAATGACCCTATTTGTTGGTGGATTTGATGTGAGATATGAAAGAAAGCACAGAGTCAAAGATGACCCTGAGGTTTTTGACCAGAGCAACTGGCAGGTTTTTTCTAAAATGGAGGAAAAAGCAAGTTTTGCAGGTGAAGATCAGGAGTTTGCGTTGGAACATGTAAATCTGGGGGATGCCTTTTAGATATTCAGGTGGAGATGCTGGGAGACAAGGAGGCTGGATTCATTGAGGACGTCTTGGCTGGAGATATATAATTGCACGTCATCAGCATATAGATGTATTTAACACCAAGAGACAAGAATGTCTGTAGACAAGAATGATTTGTATTGCTATCAATTTTCTATAAGTTAACTTCAATCTCTGCCGAGTTGTAAAATAGCTTAGTCAACGACAAAGGTGCATACCCCTATAGGATCCGATAAAATCCACCAAGTCTCCAGTATTCCAGAAAAAGGATATCCACCAGTCTCTTGCTTTTTTCAGCCTTACATTTCTTCTTACAAGTGACAGTGCCTGGTAGTCCAGGCCAGGACTTTCCACATGTCCAGTCCTCAAAGATGTTTCTGCCCCAGACTCTTTCCTCTGTTCCTGCCCCTCCTGACCACTTGGCTCCTGGGCTTTCCTGCGACAACAGAGCCACTGTGATTCTAGTGCACTTTTCCTTTGGGTACCACCTGAGAGTTTCCATACTAGGACTGACCCTCTACTACAGGGTTTTTTGTTTTGTTTTGTTTTGTTTTGTTTTATTCAGCATTTGTATTGCTTCAGGCCCTGTAGAGACCAGGGCTGCATCTGCAGCCTGTTTCTAAAAGAGCCCTCTTTTAGAAGCCTGGGATCCTGCCTGTCACCAAGTCCCTGAGTTGGGCTGAGTAGGGCCCAGATGCCTTCCTGAGTGTGGAATGCTCCAAGTTCCTATCCAAGGCAGGCTACCTTATTTTGAGACAATGTCTCTGTGTGATAGATTTGAAGGAAAACCACAACAAACCTTGTTTTTGTACCACATAGAATGTTAACCTGTTAAAGGCTCCAAGCAGATATCAAATCTCTACATGGAGAAAGGCCCCCAGGTGTAAAACACTGTTCTAATGACGGCGTGAGCATCTGGAGGGCAGCAAGACGCGGTCCATCATGATGGAGCTTATGACCAAGCTGGGGGGATAAGACAACAATAAAATAATATGTCACAGAAGTAGCAACAAGAAGGTACTGGGAGTGATGGGGAGGCTGAGGAGTCCTGGGCAACCTCCAGTGTCAGATTGGAACTGGAGTTTATGAATAGGTTCATCTGCAGGAGTGAAGTTTCCCAAGGTGGCTGATGGATGACCTTCTAAAGTCTAATTTTATAAACTGGGGCTGCCTGTATATTTCTATCCATATGCTCCTGAAAGATCATCAGATTCCTGTGGCCTTGCATTTTTAAAAAATTTGGGTGTGGGCTTCCCTGGTGGCGCAGTGGTTGAGAGTCCGCCTGCCGATGCAGGGCACGCGGGTTCGTGCCCCGGTCCGGGAAGATCCCACATTCCGTGGAGCGGCTGGGCCCGTGAGCCATGGCCGCTGAGCCTGCGCGTCCGGAGCCTGTGCTCCGCAACGGGAGAAGCCACAACAGTGAGAGGCCCGCGTAGGAAAAAAAAAAAAAAAAAAATTTGAGTGTCACCTCATAATATCAAGGGATATTGTAATTAATCAAAGGCATAGGTAATTTTGGTAGAAATTTTAGCCATGTTAACTCACCTCCTCTACTTTTAAAGTCAGATTTGCTAATACTTCACAACTCTGAGGGTTTAAGATTCCCCACACCCCATATCCACCACAGCAGAGGAAACAAGAAAGGAGGGGCGGGAGAAGGGGCGGAAGTGGAGGGGAGGGCTTGTCTCCTGCTGGGAAACTGCAGGTGATGAGAAGGACTGCGCTTGCGCCTGCGCCCAGGTGGCCCGCCTGACTTCTCCAGGCAGGTGATGGCGATTACCCAGGAGATAAGCGAGACCTCTGCTGCCCGTTTTAGGATAAAGGAGGAGTGGAACTTCGTGGCCGAGTGCAGAAGGAAGGGCATACCCCAGGCTGCGTACTGCAAGAATGGCTTCATAGACACCAGCGTGAGGCTTCTAGAAAAGATTGAAAGGAACTCCCTCGCAAGGCAGAGTGCAATTTCCAAGGAGAGAGACAAACGGAGCAGTGAGTTTGTGTTTGAACTTACGGGGGAGCACTGGAAGGTGAGTCCATGCGTTTCGGTCCCTACAGCACGCCGAGGCTCTTTGCAGCGCTGCGGCCGACGTCTGCTGCTAGGCTGAGCTCAGGCCGTTGACCCTGGCCCAGTGCGCGCTGTTGCTGTTGTCTTTAGAGAGCTTTCCCCTGGATGCGGAGGAGCCATTGCCGGCTCTGAACCCGGTTCTCGCGTCTTTTCCGCGGTGAAGGACTGTGCAGCGTTGAAAAGAGCAGCGGGATCCCCTTGGATCCTTCCGACGCTGCGAGGGACTGGGGACCCCAGCGGCTCCTCAGGATGGCACAGCCTTTACAGTGCTTGATTCTGGGAATTCCCTGGCGGTCCAGGGGTTGGGACTCCGCGCTTCCATTGCTGAGAACGCGGGTTCAGTCCCTGGTTGGGGAGCTAAGATTCCGCCAAGCCGCGGGGTGCGGCCAAATAAAGAAACAAAAACAAAAACGTTTGATTCTGCCGCCTCCTCACCACCCTTCCCCGCCCATTAAAAAGAACTCCTTGCCTTTTTTTTTTAAATGCTCTGAGCACTTGACTTGCCTAACACCCCTCTGTGGGCGGTGACTTTGCTGACTTGTCACAGAGTGAAGAGCCGCCAAGGAATTTCGCAGACCCTTCAGCCAGTTTTCCTCCGAGTTTCTGAGGCCAGGTCAAAGATGTGCCCTCTTTCTTGCCTCGGGTGTGTACAGGTGCTTCCTGCTCGCACTCCCCCAGGTCGCTGCTGGCTTGGAGAGGCACCTCAGGGCTGCTTGTGCTCTGATGTTTCTTGGCTGAAGCAGCACGTGGTGTGTGTGCGCTGGGTGGCGGCACAAATGAGCTCGGGCTATCTTCCGTTCAGTGGGACGGAGTTGTCTGGGACCTGCTCTCCATCTCTTTTTATCCCACCATTTTGTGGCTGAAAGGACTCTGGACTGGGAGACCGTATATTTTGGGTGCCCCTTTATTGGCCGTGTGACCTGAGGCTGTTTGCTCCATTTGTATACATTTTATCTCCTTCCCTGTTCAGTGGTGCTAATGCTTGCCTTGACCCCCCCTCAGAGGGCTGTTGTGAGGATTAAACGAGCGGATATTCTGTGACACTGTCTTGTTAGCGACACAGCCCTATAAAACTGGGAGAGACTATGACTGAAACCTCTTTGGTGGTCTTTCTCCTGCATCCGCATCACTGAGATCAGTGGATACATGGATACTGCCTTTTCTGGGGCAAGAAGGAGGGCCTGTCTGGATTTCTAATTAAATATCGCTGGTAAATCATTCTCGTGTGCCGTGGTCAAACACGATCCCAGCCCGCTTGGGGAAACTGTTGAGTCCTCTCGGCTCACAGCACCTTTGGAAAACCACTTTAAAGGGCATTTAGTGAGTGCCTAGTGTGGTCGGGGGATAGGAAGAGGGTTATGAGTCAGCAGGCTAGGGAGACCCCAGGGTGAACCATGTGGATGTTGTCTTCATTACTTACATTACTTACAGCCTTCTTGTCCCCTGCATTCGCTTCCCTGAGCTGATACCTTATCCTCATGGGTACCCACCAAAGGCAAGACTCTGGGGCCTCAGGCATTCATTAGTATGAATTTCAGTTGCTGTTTTCCTTCCCCAGAGAGATTTGTGTTTCAGTCTTGCCTCTACTTAAGGAGTGAAAAGCTCCATTAAATGATGTTCGCCGTCTTAGAGTGCTCATGGCAGCGAGGGAGTTCTGGCCTCTAACATCACACCAGGCAGCAGCTCTGGCTTCTGCAGGAGGTCAGCAAGAGGTGGACGGGGCGGTGGAGCTTCTGGGGCTTTGGGAACTGGGTGGGGAGAGCTCCCCTGGGGCTCCTTGGAGCGGCTGTGGGGCTGTGACCTATGACTTGGGTACCCGATTAGGATGGGGGTGTTGGGGTCAGGCATTCTTTGTGAGCTGGAAGCCCCCAGGCCCTGGGCCCTGCTCTTTCAGGGAGATTTCTCTAATTTTACTGAACAACTTTTCAATAGAAAATTTCACATCTACTGTCAAACTGTTAATTTCCAAGAGCTGTCTGTTTGTTTTGTGAACGAATGAGTCCTGTAATGTGACTTTATATTTCTACTTTTATGGATGAGTCTTAAATTTTCCTTTAAAAATTTTGTCCTGTTTTCATTTCATGGGGGTTGTTCTTACTTATCTTGGGATTGATAGCTTTTTTTTGAGGAAGTTTCCATCTTTCAGAGTCTCCTTTTTCTTTTTGGGTTGTTTGTGTTGGTCTGGCATGTTGGGACTCTCTGGGAGGTCTGGAGACACGCGGTGTCGGGAGCACTGAGAAACTGGAAGCTCCAAGTGTGTGTCAGGTGAGGGCTTCGTTTTTTGGAGGGCGTTGCTATGGAGCCCCATGTCTCCAGCACGTTCCCCCCACCCCCCACCCCAGGAGTGCATATTTATGATTTGTCTGCAGCTGGTGAGTGCCCACAGAGAGGATCCTCTCACATCCTGCAGGCAGGGACAGGCCTGGCAGCCAGTGCTCTGGACAGAGAGGAGGGCTGGGTGGGGAAGTCTCAGCTTCCATCACTCATCCTGTGGTTGCTGCCTCCCTCCCTAGATGTGCCTAATGGTCCCCAATCCAGGCACTCTGTTTAATCCCTCCAGTGGATAAGCCTCAGTCTTCTACAGGGGCAGTCCTTCTGTGACATGGATGGGGGGCAGACTTTGAACTTGGCCTCCTTCTTTTAGCCCTGCCTTCCACTCTCACCTCCAGACATGCCCGGCTTTTCTACTTCCTGAGCCTCGGGAGCCTCTGGTGAGAAGTTCAGGTTGTGTCTCATTGTTCCTGCTGCTGCTGGTCTAAGGTTGAGCAGATCAAGGGAGGTGGGTTACCATCTTCCAGTTCTCCAGCTACCAACATTTTCCTCCCTTCTCTTTCTCTTTGCCCTCTGTAAGGTTTATATCTTCAAAAAAGAATTCCTTTACTGTCATCTTTCATGGAATTTTAGACAGGAGCAAAAGTGTATATGTTGTGTTCAATCTGCCATCATTACCCTGTTCCTTTTATTTTTATTTAACACGCTATCTTAAGATTTTCCCATGTTATTAAAAATAGTTATGGATATAATTTTGGAAGGCATAATAAGCTTTCCAAGTGTGCCATTATTGGAAGAGCAATATGAGAGAAGTTATTTATGAGACACTTGATAATTGAAGCTTCAAAAGAGAGAGTGTTTTCATGCCGTGGAGCGGCTGGGCCCGTGAGCCATGGCCACTGAGCCTGCACGTCCAGGACCTGTGCTCCGCAACGGGAGAAGCCACAACAGTGAGAGGCCCACGTACTGCAA